CACCGCTAGCGCGGGAACTCGGCTGGCAAACTCGCGCTCTGATTGGTCGCGGTTTTTCGTTAATATCTCGTAAACGAAGCCTCAGTTTAAATTTTGGCTAAGGAAAAAGTTGTTCCAATTCACCCCCCGAGTGCCACATTTCCGGGTCGGAGGACATTTTTGGGACACCCTGTATAAGTTTGTTTGGAAATGTGATTTTCTGGAAATCTAGAAAACAGAATAGTGTGACGAAGGCCTCAAGTTTTGCGGAATATGTGGCTTTGTCAGAGGCAGTTAGCGAGTTAAAAATTGTACCAAAAACATTAGGAGTGTTTGAGTTGAAAATTGAAAATCCAATACCAGTGTATGAAGATAATTCAGATACAATAAGTATTGCTAAGTATGGAAATTTTACAAAAAAGTCAAAATATATAGGGACATATTATCATTTTGTGAATGATAACTATAAAGAAGGTATTATTAATGTTATAAAAGTTGACTCTGAGGAAAATGTGGCGGATATTCTTACTAAAGCGCTATGTAAAGAAAAATTTGAAAAATTTAGAAATATGTTAAATGTTAAGAACGTATGTTAGATATAAGAAATGTAAAGGAATATAAATGTAAGGAGGCGTATTGAGTATAGTACATTTATACATATATGTATATATGGCGCGCTATCTATTAGTGTATGGGCGAGATCAGCGCGTGGTAACGCAAGACAGAAGCCCGTAAGAAAATCGTCTGTAAGAGTAGATGGATGAAGGAGCATGTGCAAACAGAGAGGAGAGATCCTCGTTATTGTATTATCTATATTAAATATATTGTTATACTAGAGAATTTGTCTCAATATCATCACCGCATCATCTCAACACGTCCGAACTGACTGAGTACTCGGTTGAGAATAATTAAAATGGCAATAAAAACATTGATAATTAGAAATTACTCGTATTTGATATTTACATTTGGTTGTCATGAAGAAACATTGCCAAGGTATTAAAAACGCTCGTTCCCCGTAATTATGAGATCCAATAGGATTAAAGGAAAATTATTAATTAATTTCTGATTTGATGTTAAATAAATT